ATAAAGCATTTTCAAGCATGTAAAACCCACAATCTCTTTTTTTCCTTAATTGCATTGCTTCAAGTAGTTAATGTGATGTAAAACATATTGCATTCTTGATTCTGAGTCGCCTTTGTGGCACGCCCCTCGAGGCAAGCCCGAACAAGTCTATGTTAGGGTTTGAAATTCTTATTTCTCACAAAAAATAATGATTTTACAAATTTCATTGCCTTTTAAGAAGATATTTTATTGCAATAAATGAATGAACAACGTAAGCAAATAAGGGGTTCTTAGAGCTGAGGCGCACGCCTGGACTGGGCTGAGGCGGACGCCTGGGCTGGGCTGAGGCGCATCAGGCGCGTGCCTTTTGAAAGAGGTGCGCCTAGGACCTAGGCGAGGCGCATACCCCAAAATGCGCCTAGGACCTGGGCGAGGCGCATAACCCAAAATGCGCCTCGCCTGAGCGCGCCTTTTAAATCACTGGGGAAGACATGCTAAATGGGTTGACTTTCTAAAAGAATATAATTTTGTTTTGAAGCATAAGATTGGACAGCAAAACCAGGTAGCTGATGCTCTTAGTAGGAGAGTTCACTTGGTGTCAACAATGTCTACTAATGTTGTGGGATTCAGCTCCATCAAAGACCAATACCAAGATGACCCTTATTTTGGCCCTATTTGTAGAAGCTATACAGCAGGTGACAAGGATATTCATGGGAAATAGGTTATGTATTCCATCAAGATCCTTGAGGGCATTACTCAATGCTGATTTGCATAGCAAAGGACATTTTGGTCGCAAGAAGACACTTGAAATGGTCTCCGAAAGGTACTTTTGGCCAAGGCTACAAAAGTATGTGTTCTATTATGTTGATAAATGTCACAAGTGCCAAACATCTAAGGGTCAACATCAAATTGCAGGTTTGTATCTTCCCTTACCCATACCAGAAGCACCATGGACTGATATTACTATGGATTTTGTGTTAGGGTTGCCAAGAACAGCTAGGGGTAATGACTCTATTTTTGTTGTGGTTGATCGTTTCTCTAAATAAACCGACTTTATTGGTTAACAAAAGGCTTCTGATGCTTCTCATGTAGCTAAATTGTTTTTCAAAGAAGTTGTTCAGTTGCATGGACTGCCAAGATCTATCACATCAGATCGTGACACAAGATTCCTTAGCCACTTTTGGAGAACTTTATGGAAGTGTATGGGTACTACCCTACAATATAGCAGTAAATTTCACCCACAAACAAATGGACAAACTAAAGTGGTTAACCGAAGCTTAGGCAACTTGTTGAGGAGCCTAGTTGGAGATTACATAAAGCAATGGGATCTTATCCTACCACAAGCTGAATTTGCCTTTAATGATTAAGTTAATAGATCTACAAGGAAGACTCCTTTTGAGGTTGTGTACGGTCGGTTACTTAAAAGTGTTGTTGATCTAGCTCCTATAACAGGGTTGCGGCGAATGAGTGATGATGCCGAAGCTTTAACTGAATCCATTCGAGAGATTCAAGAGAATGTACAACATAAGCTAAAAGAAAGCAACTAAAGGTATAACAAAGCTAAGGATAAGCATTACCGGATGAAAGAGTTTCATAAGGGCGATCTAGTCATGGTTTATTTGTGGCCTGAGAAGTTTCCTGTTGGAACCTACCATAAGTTGAAGTAGAAAAAGATCGGTCCACGTCAAGTGCTGAGACGGTTTCGTGACAATGCATATGAAATTGAGCTACCAACTGATTTGTCCATTTCACCCATTTTTAATGTAGCGGACCTCTTTGATTACCATGGGGACCTAGAACCAACAACAAAGGATGGGCGAGGACAAGCACAAAAGACCAGTAGTTCTAATGAGTTTGAACAAGTAGAGGGTGTAGAAGATGTCCGAGTCACCAACACTCGAAATGGGGCCTATTTTAGGTTTTTGGTCAAGTGGAAAGGGAAACCATAAATTGAGAACTCTTGGATTAGTGAAAAGGAGTTTATGAAGCTAGATGGAAACATGTGCAAGGCTGCTAAAATTGCTGCTCGCACAGGATCGAGCTCTTTTTAACCCGGCAGGAATGATGAGGCAAGAAAAAAAAGGAAAAAAAGAAAAGAAAGAAAAAAAAATGTGTGAATGTATTCTGTTTTGCATGTTTTTCTTGTAGTAGGATCCCAAATTGTTGTTTTTGGGTAGCTTTGTGAACAGTTTAGAACCAGGGGTACTTTCGTCATTTTATAAGTCAGGTTTTTTGTCAGGGGCAGTTGGGTGCATTTTTGTTGGATTTTGGTCTCTTGGGTCTTTTTGTAACAAAAATTATCTTTTAGGTGTTCGTTTGAAGTTAGTTTTGCTCCTAAGGAGTTGTTGGTGAGAGGGAAACATTCTAGGGGCTTATGTGTAAATATTTTAACTAGCTTGTCCAGCAAGCCAGTGAGTCTTATAAAAGAGAAGGGGGCTGTTTATGTAGGGGCTTTTTTTGGTTCTTTCTCTCTTGTTTGAGCTGTAGCTCAGCCCCAGCTAGGGTTTTCAAGTATTGGGAGCTTGGGTTTTGAGGAACCCATTTTGGCACCTTCCAATCCCTCCTTCGCTGCGTACCGCACGGGAGGCCAGCTTGCTGCCATTGTTACTGTAGCGGAACTGTTCCAGGAGGGGTTTTACTTCAGGTTCAGGTCTGAAATCCCTAAAAATCCAACTTATTTTGCTGTTTTCAGCTTGGTATTTCTCGTGCTTATTGATGTATACTTGAGGTCCTGCATGTAATTTGTCTTTCTGTCCACATCAGGGGCTTTGTGAAGAATCAAGTGGCTAACCACAAAAATATGGTAGTTAGTTTTCAATGGGAAAGGAGATCAGAAATTGGGGTGGCAGATTGTTTAGCAAAGCAAAGGGTACATAAGAATCAGTTATTATGGGCTCAACTGCAATTTTGTTTTTTCTTTTTTTTTGTTTTGAGGCTGCATCTCGCACCTCTTTGTGGGAAGCTTTTACTGTGTATTTTTCTTGCCGAATTATTGATTCTTAATAGTACTCCTATTACTAACTTATCAAAAAAAATATTCCTATTGCTAATTAAAAAAATGGTGGCACTGCACATCAATCCTCAGCTTAAGTTTCTTTTTTTTTTTTGAAAGGCAATTTTTCCTCCACTGCTTTCTCCTCTTTACATGGTAATTTTTCTCCTTTGCTTGCTCCTCTTTACAGGAGGTTTCCAGTTCAAATGTAACTTAAATTCTCAACAGAACCACAAAAGTAGAATCAAGGAAAGTTAGAGAAGATGATACTGTGATTAACTAACAAATAGCCAGCCAGCATGCATGATCTCTAGTTTTTAACAAATATAATTGAAAAAGGAAAAGGCAATTTGTGTCCTAACCTTGTGTTTCAGCCTACGGAGCACAAAGGGCCGAAGAACTTGGTGGAGACGATTTATAATCAATAGATTCTCCTCCTCGGATAGTAAAGCCTGCTCAATAATTACCACGAACAATGATTTATGAGTCTCACAAAGTGATCTATTTTGAAAAAGAGGATGTAGTTTACTTTTACATCACAAAAGCAGATAAAACCAAGACTTACTTCATCAGGTGAATTATCACCACTACTCTCAAATGGTTTATTGAACCATTGAGAAAAATCTTCTGATGAGTTGAAAATGTTTGGTAAGAGGAAGTTAAGTAGTGCCCACAGCTCATCAAGATTGTTCTATACCAAAAGAAAAGGAAGAAAAGATAATCCATCACAGAGGATTCAAAGTTATAAAGCTTCAGAGTCAAAAGAAAATTAGATTAATATGAACATCAGATGGCAAAGCAATTCAAAGAGCAAGAGTGAGAAGAATAAACAGGAGAGCAAGGATCATCCCTAACCTGCAGAGGTGTTCCAGTCAACAGCAATTTATGATAGCTCTGATAATGCCTTAAGTCTGCATTCAGTTTGCAGGAAGCATTCTTTATGCGGTGACCTTCATCAATTATAATGTAATGCCATTGTATTTTGCTTAACTTTGGCCGATCATGTTTGTTCATCAAGTACTCATATGTTGTCAGAAGGACATTAAATTTCTGATGGACAATCATATCTCTGCAGGACAAAGGAAAGTCCAAATGATTATCTACACAATCAAAAGTAAAAAGAAAGAAAGAAAAACAAAAATATTCATATAGATATTCCATTACTTGAATAATCTGCGACGCTCCTCTGGAGGACCAGCATAAGCTATTTTATTTATACCAGGTGCCCAGAAGCTAAGCTCTGACTCCCATCCAGGTAAAACAGATGATGGTACTACCACCAGAAAGGGTCCTCTGTCATTTTTGGTTTCCATTAAGTAACAAATTAGAGCAATAACCTGCAAAGACTCAACTCATTAGATTCCTGCTATATCAAGTCCAAAAACTCCCAGGATGCATAAAATATCAGAAAGGAGCCTTTGTTAGATTATTTTAGAGCTTAGACACATAGCACCCATACCATACCTGAACAGTTTTACCAAGACCCATCTCATCAGCAAGAATCCCATTCAAGTTATTATTGTATAACGAAACCAACCACCGAAGGCCATTCATTTGGTACCTACATAAAATGAAGTGCATTAATCTTCCACCAAAGCTCATGGAAGATTGGTTTATCCAAAATACAATCCAACATGAGTTTAACCATCCAATTGAAGACAATAAACATGAAACGCCTGAAAGAATAACAATAGAACAGATGACCAAATGAAAATTCAACTCACTCCCTCAGTTTTCCACCCTGAAGACAAGTTGGTTGTTCTGCTATGCTTTCTTTTACACTGCAACAAAACAATGTTTAATGTATTACATTCCTGAAAGAAAGATTTACACACAATTATCAAGGAAGAAATAACTATATTTTACTTAAACCAAGTAAATTTACCCAAATTCTTTTTTACATAATTAAAATAAAAAAACTTCGTCTGCATGTGGGAAGACACCCAGTTAATTCCGCTCGTGACTGGTAAACTACATGTAGCATTCAAGTAAAATATAATAACATTACCTGTGAGCCATCATATAGTACTTTTCATTGCTTTCCAGATAATGCTGCAAAAAAGATTTACAAATATTAGATAGAAGAGAAAATAACTTCAGGAAGTGCACAAAGAGCAAACTTACCTGAGCCTGGTCACTCTCATCTTCATTATCAGCAGGAATCTCATTTTTTTCAACAACATTTGCAGCTCGGTTCTCTTCCATTTCCATCTCAAAACGCCTTGCCATGGCCTTTGCGTCCTGTAGTTTAGCACCCAGCTTCTGAAGATATTTTTCTGTCTCCTTGAGCAATTGCTTGACACGATCTGATTTTGCATCCTATATGATGATAAAATAACATTATCTGAAGGAACAACAGCAGCAATACTTCAAGAAAACACTAAGAAACTGCAAATGTGAGGATACCTGAACCATTCGTAGATAACCTTCCACATCATTGTTCTTTAAGAGGTTAATCTTCTCACGCTGGATTCTGTCAATCTTCTCACGATGTATCCTTTCCTTCCTCTTATGGAACTCCTTTACATATTTATTGAAACCCTTCCAACGTTCCCTCTTAATTTTAAACCAGTCTTCCATTCGCTCCCTAAAAGATAGTGATAAAGCAAGTAAATGACAAATACAAAAAAAGGTTTTTATTGACATTGGATTTAAACTAAATTAATTAAGAAAACACTGTTTGGTACAACAGCAAGATAAACACAACATAGGAAAGAGAGAATGCAATACTGAAAGAATAGCAATCAGCACAGATATATCATAATTTCTAAAGAAACGCAAGCTGTGTTTAATTAGCCTGAAATTCAGAGGCTGAAAGAGAACTAATTCTGCCTTCCACTAAAACCTTAGGAATTTAAATAAGAAACCTCATCTAATAAATCCAAAGCCACCAAAAATAGCAGAAACAGCATCTTTAAATTGGAAAAATTGCTAGGTTCTGCATCACCCTATTTTTGGAGTCAAATGCCAGAACCCAGGAACTTCAGAGGCAGATTGGTTAATTACCCCATTTCACCCTTAGGATGTGTCTAATTTGAAGGAAAAGGTAGGGAAAGGAAGGGAAAGTAGGGAAAATCCAAGCAAAGCTTGTATGGTTTTCCCTACCTTTTCCTCCAAACCAAACACAGCCTTAACTCAGACAGAACCAAAATGGATATGGTTCTTTGAAAGGACATAAAGAAAAGTAAATCATTGAAATGATCAAGCATGCAGAGACACACTTGTGAACTTCTATTTCACTGAAGAATTCCTTCTGCCTCTCACGAATTCTCTTCTGCCGCTCCTCCTTCATTTTCTGTTCAAACTTTTCGAGCTGTTTCAACCGCCGTCCATGCCTATGTTTCTTAATTGATTTCAACCGCTCCATGTCAGATGCAATAGGTTTGAAGAAATCATGCAGAAAATCACTGTTCAAACAGAGAAAATACAGTAATGAGTGGAACAGGCAGAACAGATAAACAGCAATAATACAGACAATCATTTCATTTAACAGTATAAAAGTGCAAACAGGGAGAATAGAAGAGGGAGGAAGAACAATATGATGAAGTTCACCAAGAAGATAAAACTAAAAACGTGGACTTACAGTGCCACAATGATCTTTTCCATAGAAAAAGGAAAGAAAAAAAACAAATAGGAAAGAAAACAATGCCATGATAATACTACAGATACCTCCGCAAACGGCGTTGAAGCTCGAGCAGTTGAAGCTTTTTCAGTTCAATGACACTTTTTGTCTTGGCAGAAATATCTTCAGATGAACTCACAGTTTCCTGTAAAACAAGTTTTAGTCCAAATGAAATATAATCAGAGCACTAATCAACCCTATACTAGCTAAACTATTAGTATTCTCTAATGCACTTCCAATAGCAATTGACAGAGAAACCTCTGAGTTTCAACTTTCAAACATGCAAGAACAGATAATTCAGCATACCGGTGAAATAAAGAAACAGAAGCAGAACTAATAAAGAAATTCCATTAGAAAAAGCTTTTTTTTTGGCAGATGGAATCATAGAACAACCTTGCACCAATTCAGATATGCAATATACAAAGTAAAGCATAGTATGATGTATAAATGCAATTTATTGCAACTATTTGCAGAGTTTAGAAGCTTTTTGGATCTATTGACTATTACAAGGGTTAGAAGGTCAGCCATCCCGTATGGGGCATAGTGTTGGAAGTCAATTGTTCTTGGATCCATATAACTAAATACAAGTATTTGATGTATACAAGTATTAACTTAGGGCTTAAAACTATTTTACATATAAATGTATACAAATATACGGGTGTGAACAGATAAAGTTTGTGTATTTATTTATATGTACAAATAGACACAAGTGTTATTGTACACTAGTGAATGACCCCGTACTAACTACGGGGAATCAGTAATGTTAAATTTACATTATGGAATCAATAATGTTAAATTTATCAGGAATTTCTCAAAAATTGCCATGTGTCTAGCTTTCTAGAAATCCCCAGGGTTTGGGCTAGCACAGCAACCCTATCCATTGTCAATCTTTTTTTCTCACATTAATACAAGGCAACCCCTGAGAATAGTTCCCCCTGTTAACCTCTTGTTTGGCCAAAGAATCAGCTACACAGCTGATCTTTGAACACAAGTGAAACTGGCTTCCAGCTCTCCTAATAATTGTGTGATTTCCCTCATGATGTGCCTATGTTGCCACAAGCCTTGGTAGTCTTTTTTTATCAATAGCCATCAATTTTATTAAAATTATAGAATCATTAAGTATACATATATACATCCTCCCTATTGAGAAATAATTCTATTGTATCTCCTTTTTACATTTACACTAGTTACAACTGTGCCCAAAACATTTGTTCTTTTTTTTTTTGAAGAGTAAAAGAAAAGAAAAAGGAAAGAACTTAATAATTTTATTTCTATAGACCTATAAAGCTTCTTCTCCATCTTGCAACCACCCAACTACCAATATGGAATCACCTTCAATAATCAACTTATCCACATTCATATGTCTTGCTTATTGAACCCCTTCTATCATTGTCATAATTTTAGCTCTTAATGAGTCTCATAAACCAATCAGCCTGAGAACATAGCCACAATATGAAGTTCATCATTTCTGAAAACACTTTCCACACCTGAAGGTCCTGGATTCCCCCCACAGCGTCCATCAAAGTTTAGTTTCATGAATCCTTTCCCTGGTGATATCCAACTTCTGCACACTATGTTCTATTTTAATGATGAATCCACCACTACTCTCCAACTTCTAATTACTACCATCTGTTGAAAAAGGAAATAAGTTTTTCAGGTAGAATGCACTACTTGTAAGAGAGTCTAGAGTGATTATGGATCCTAAGGCACTGTTTGTTGGGATTCCTTCTCTTTGGGTGGGATAGCACTGCTTACAGGGGACTTTAGAGTGGTTACGGACCCTATGGCACTACACAAGAGAAGCCAAGGCATTGACCTTTAGGTTGAACAGCTCTTTCACTTCAAAATGTTTAAACTTTAAAATATCGATACAATATGCCCCATATTGGGCATTACATATCGTAATTTTAGGTTACTAATATGCTAAATAGAGGGAGTTTGGACATCTGGCCAGTATTAGAGGTTAACACCTCCCACTGGAGATGTACTGACTCAATTCTTGAACCTTTGATTATATTTCCAAGTACTCTGGCTGTTTGAAGCATCCGATATGCAATTTTTGCATATCAAGTGTATTGATACTTTGAACCATAACTTCAATACCTATACCATAAAATGACCTCGAAGATTTACTTGCAAGTTGGACAGAGCCATCATTGAATGGGGAACAAGACTAGGGTCCAGCTTAGAGGTTGAGTGCACTTGCTCATTTCCTTTGCAATTTTGTTGGGCAGCCCATGCTGTGTACCATCTTGTATATTGGTATTTGTTCAAATTATGGGGTTTATTCTCTATTCTCTTTATCTTATAAAACCTTCTTTATTTAATTGTCATTCATCAAAAAGAAAAAAAAAATCCCACATCAACAATGGAGAAATGCTTCAATGAAAATGGAAAACCCAGTGTCCATTCCTTCATGTGTTTGTCTTTTGCCTTGAAGAAGGTGAGAGTGGAAATAAAAACCTCTCTTACTTCTTTACTTCAAAGAAATGGAACCACTTTTCCCTCTTACTTCTTTACTTCAAAGATATGGAACCACTTTTCCCTCTTTTCAGCTATGTTTAGAATCTACTATTGAATGTACTAGCTTTGTTTTTATTCCTAGGTGATCCCTCTCTTTACTAAGAGTGGAAAGATCACATGACATTGCACTGGAGCAGCCATTCTTTGGAGCCTATGGTGTGAAAGATGTAAACATACTTTGGAGTTTGCAATGACAAAGGACAAGATGTAAACATTCCGATAGATCTAATGAAGGTAAAGTCATGCATTGGGTTTTAAACTAAGAAGATTTCAATAGGATCCTTCGGATTCTATACTGAAAGAATAGCCTACAGTGCCTGGCTATGCTCCAACAAGAAAGCAGGTATTATTGTCATGGACAACTTCAATCAGGGAAGAATCCGTCTTAGTAAACCAAGGCGCTTCATCAATAGGAGGTGTAAGAAATCAGGCAGGGAGTGTCACTTTGAATCACCAGGTGTTGGAAATTCTTTGATAGCTGAATTGCTCAGAACAGAAACTCCTAGGTGTTTACCATTATGCACGAACTTCAACCCCCCACCCAAAATCATATCCTAGACAACAGAATACCAGAGACAAAAAATCAAAGAGTGCATCAAAAGTCGCTTCAAGGAACTCTTCTCAAAAGCAAAAAAGGGCAAACAGATTGCTTCTGTACCAAGGCCAAAGAATTGTTTCCTCTTTTGTGCACTTAAGTAGAAGGCTTTTTAAGCTGTTTTTAGTTCTTAAAAAATTAAGTGAAAAACAAAAAGTTCTAGGAAAACCTTTAGGAGGTTTTCTTCCCGCAACTCTCCCCTTCTCACTTTTTCTGAGGAACCAAAAGCAGCCTCATAAATCTTTTTTCCCCATTTTATTTTTTTCATATGGTGTTTGAAGTTATGTTTTGTGGGCTTCATTCAGGGCTTTTCCTTAAGCAATACTTGCACGGTTTAACATATTGAAATAGAAAGGTGACATGACAACCTTTAACCTTAATAATGCCAACTAAGCGAGTAAAATAGTGAAATCTTTCAGGAGTTCCTTTCAACTTCTAATCCTCTCCTCAATTACAGCTTGAAACTAAAACTTTTTTAGTCAGTCTTAAGGTTATGTCAAGATTCTTGGGAACAAAATGATATAAAGTATCTCCTCCCTCCCTCTTCATGGTCTTTTTTCCATTTCTACTGAGATCAAAACCAGTTTTCCATTTCATGGAGATATTAAGACTATTCTTTGTTTGTTGCATGATCAACTACCAGAGACGGTGCATCATCTCAATCAGATGTTGTAAAGCTGACTTTAAGACATTGTATTCATGGAAACCTATATAAATATATAATGCAATCAAGGTTAAGGGATACGAACACAATCCTTCCTCAACATCTATATGGTTCTCCAGTGGCAATATCAATGGGACAGTAATCAGAATTTTACAGATCCATCATCCATGTAAACCAAACTTATTGTCATGGGCTTCAAAACTTATACTTGCAGGGTCACCCTAAGGACACCCAGAATAGCCCATGAACTTGGACCCATTCTGGCAGATTTGGCCAGCTATAACAATGCCTGAGAAGACCTTCAACCATATCAATCAGAGATTTGACTAGATAGCAAATCAATCAATATTTGACAGAGAATGAGAAAAACTTTGAAATTTATTTGCATCTGAATTTCTTTTAATTGTTACTTTTTTATCAGTAACAAAAAACTTTCATTAATTAAGAAATAAGTTTAAATACAAAGGTGGGGGGAGGTAAACCCTCTTACCTCACCTCCAAAAAGAAAATTACAGTGTAGCCCAAAACAAATGACTTCTTCCGCCCCCTATTTAGCCAAAGCATCTGCAAATGAATTGGCACATCTTTTAACCCGCTGGGCACGCACATCCATTCCTTGAGTTAGCCACCTGAATTGCCTTCGTTCATTAATGTATGTCCATAACCCATCATTTGTCTTCTCTATCCAGCCAATTACCACTTGTGAATTCCTTGTTTTGTTGCATTTATTAGGAACTTAATTATTCTACAGATCTCAAAGAGATCTGATGTACATCAATAATATCATTGTAAAAATTCTCTTGAGAAGAGAAACTACATCTCAATGGGGGGGAGGATTACGTTGTTTAAGTCCATCTTAGCAAACTTGCCCACTTACTTTCTGTCCATCTTTAGAGTCCCAGCAAAATTAGCTAGACAGCTAGAGAAGATAATGAGGGATTTTTTATGGAAGCCAAGAGGGGAGAAAAAGACCATTTAGTAAAAAGGGAACAGGTTTGTAGGCCTAAGGAGCAAGGCCGGTTAGGGATTGGGAACTTAGTGAACAGAAATACAGCTCTACTAGGAAAATGGCTGTGGAGGTTTCCCCGTGAGAAGGATAAACAGTGGCACAGGGTCATTGAAAGCATTCATGGTGCAGTAGATAATGGCTGGGAAGCATAAATAGCAGCTAATGCAGTTTCAAATACCCCTTGGAAAGCAATCTCTGAAATATTGTCTTTATTTACTAACTTCATTCATCTTGACATTGGGTGTGGGAATAAGATCTTATTCTGGGAAGACCTTTGGCTTGGGGACCAACCACTTTGCAACTTTTACTCTCTGTCAAACTTAAAGACTGAAACTATAGCTAGGGTTGCTACGCCCTCAGAAACTGGTATAAATTGGGACTTAGCGTTCAGAAGGGGCTTGAGAGACAATGAGTGATTCTCTCCTTGTCCTTTTGTCAAAATTAGAAATGGTTTACCTGGATGAAAATGGCCTTGATAATAGAATTTGACATCCAACTTCTGATGGATTGTTTTCCTGTGCTTCTTTCTTTGATGTGCTTGCCCAGCCAGACTTTGTGGGGCCAAATTTCCCTGCGAGAGAACTATGGTGCAAACCAATTCCTCCTGAAGTGCAAGCTCTTTGCTAGGAAATGTTCCTAGGGAAGGTAAACACCTATGACATACTACAGAAAAGAAGGCCAAATTTGTGCCTTTCTCCTCATGTGTGTGTTCTTTGCAAGGCTTGTAGTGAAACCCTTTCTCACTTACTTCTCTCCTGCTCATTTGTTTCTGTATTTGGAACTATTTCTGTTCTCTCTTTGATTGCAGATGGGCTCCCCCACAAAACGTAGTGAGCCTTTTCAACCCAAATTTCCTGAGGCAACTGAAGAAAAGGGGAAGATGTATGTGGAAGGTAGTACGTGCAGCCTTGGTTTGATATATTTGGGAGGAAAGAAATCAAAGGATCTTCAATGAGAAAAGTAAATGCTTAGAGGGGGTGGTTGAAGCCATTAAAATCATACCAATACATTGGGTTAAAACCTTGGAACTGTTCATGAGTATTCCTACTGATGACTTCCTTAAGAAATTGGAGAGAAATGGCACACTCAAAACCACCTAGAGAAAATATAAGAATGGAGTGGAAACCACCAGGTTTAAATAAGCTAAAGCTAAATTTTGATGGTAGTTCGTTTGGAAATCCAGGAAGATTAGGAATAGGGGGAGTTTTTCGAAACCATCAAGGAGTAGTGATGGCCTTGTTCTCAGGACCAATCGGTTTTGGTGACTCAATTAATGCTGAATCAAAAGCACTGTTGCAAGGACTGAAGTTTGCTGAACAATTAGGGGCAAGAGAATTGGAAATTGAAGGAGACTCCCTCCTGATCATAACATAGGAAAAGCAAATTGAGTCAACACCTTGGAAACTCAGATTCATTTTCAGACAGATTGACCAACTTGGAAAGAAATTTAACTCTAGTTACTCTAATTTTAGATGGGTTAAAAGGGAAGCAAATGGGTTGGCAGATGTGTTAGCGAAGCAGGGAGCTAATAGACCATCCTTATTTTGGGAATTGTTGTTAACCTAGTGTTTATGGGATCCATATACCTGTAACTTATCTTCAAATATTTAATTGAATAAATAGATTTCTTTGCTGATAAAAAAAATCTCTTGAGAATTAATGAAAGTTAAATTGTTCTTAGAATTTTTATGGTTTGCTGCTGACTCCAAGCTTATGAAGGTGCTGACTGCTGACTCCTAGAGAAAACTAATAGTGCTAACTCCATTATGACCTATCCTTGATTTGTTGCAGGTATTTTATTCATTTGTCAAATCCTAGTCTATGGAACCTGCTCTAGTATTTCAGGTTCCATTTTCTTATTTTTCTTTATTTTTTACATCGTTGAATTATCTCCTTAACTAATTCATTTCTCTTCTTACTGTCCCATTGTTTTCCTTTCTTTCCCTTGTGTTTTTTGATAAATAATAATAAGCAGTTTATTAATGATCAAACAAGAGAGTTACACAAATGAAGATTTCCCACATCGAGGCATGAGATGCAGCCTCAAAACAAAAGCAGAATTACAATTGAGCCCAAAATAGTTGATCCTTATGCACCACTTGCTTAGCTAGAAAGTCCGCCAACCCATTTGTCAATCTGCTTTCCCTTTGGACTCTAACTGTTATATTTGAAGTTAGCCACTTGAATCTTCTCATAGCCCCCCTATAGGACCAAGCTACTATCTCCAGTTCCTTCAGTCACCCAATTACCAGTTTAGAGTCACCTTCAATTAAAATTCTCAAAATTCAGCTCTCTAGCAATCTCTGTTTCCTTTCCCTTTGTGCTTTTTATTACTGAAATTCTCTAATCCTCTCTTAATGGTAAAATAGCCATCCTCATTTCAGACAACCAGGCCCTTTCCAAAACCATTAACCAGCCCTTATTCATTGGACCAACCTTTAAGTTCTATTTAGAATCATTTTTACATAACAATTCCCTCTCCCCTTTTCTTAAATTTTAGAGCTCTTCTACACTTTTTCAACCCCTTTTGTTGGGAATAAAAATACCTAAGCTAGGTGTCAAAGTTAGCAAGATGAGGGCCTACTTGCCTAATTCCAGCTTGATAAAATAAAATCATCACAATTCCAACAACAACCACCTAAATTGGTTACTGTTTGCATGGATCTAGCATCATGTATCATTAGCAACCTGACAATCATTTCTGACTATCAGGAAAGCAAACCTTACTTTGATTTGACAGGCCGGAGGACTGAGTTTAAGAATGTTAGGAATTCATTTAGATGGTACAAAAGGCACACGGTAAAAAATGCCAAAAGAATATTCCAACAACCCTTCATCTTCTATTAGCATATATCACCATACAAGTAAACTTCAAATATGGTAAGGCAAAGTTCTTTGGAATATATTTCCTGTGGCTATATCTTTACGATATGAAAGGAAAAAACCTCAAAATTTTTTAAATGAAGATGAATGAAATGGCAATGGTAAAAACGAACCTCAAAGGAATACTATGTCAATGCCTAAGTATTCAAAAGGAATTTCAAGGAGTCCAACCACAATCTTTTTTTCAATGTTGGTACTTTTTTTCTTAACTCTGTATGCAAAACTTTTTGTATAGCCAGCCCTATGTATAAAAAAACTTTTTTTTTTCAATACTCAATATAATACAATACTTTTTCACAAAAAAGAAAAAAAGAAAAAGAAAACTTCAAATATAAAAAAGAAGCAATATAAATAGCTGTTTTTATCATTAACAATCAAAGCCAAGACCTCAAGAGGAGGCAACTACAACAGAAACAGAAACAGAAAACCAACAGGAGAGCAACCATGAAATTTAAAATAACATATCATTAAGCACAATATTGATATTTCAGTGCATACCTTTAGTTTATCAACACATGCAGATATTTTTTCCTCCATCTTCCTCTGTTTTAGTGCCCAAGTTTGCTCTTCAAGAAGTTTTCTTTTTTGCTGATCCGTAATCCATTTCTCCGAAGTGGTGTACTTTGGAGAAGGTGGCATGTCAGCTGAACTTAAGTTCTCATCATCTTCCAGTTCTGTACTCTTGTCCAACATTGTAACTGAATTCCCATATTTTAGTGTCTCATTGGGGGTAACCATCTTGCATACTTCTAAAGTTCGTTGCATTTGGCCCTCAGAAACCCTCTGATCACTTGTACAACTATTTCCACCACTGACTGAAGAATCCATAAAGCTATTAAAAACAACAGGCTCCATTTTAGAAGTAGCATTCTCTCCCTGCAATACATGTGAACTTAACTGACTGACATCCTTCAAAGGCATTGTGGTTTGAGGCTCAATATCCTTCCCTGAAAAAGGTTTAATCTGCTCTTTTAATGGAAAAGCTGAAGCATATTTATCTGCATGCTGATTTGTTTGCATAACAGGAGAGTCTGCCTTCAAAAATTTGTTCACTCTATCGCCATTAACTGGAATCTGAGACTGGTTTAGAGAAATATCAACCCTTTCTGACAATTGTTCATGCAGAACAGCTGAGGATGTTAGTGTTGCCCTAGGAGCCTCATTATGGCTTCCAATTCCGGTCCAACTGGTAATCTCAGGCTTCTGCTGTCTATTTACCCCCAGGACAGAAGAGCTAATCTGGTTTGCTCTTCCAAATAACCGATGGCTATTGTCGGGATCACCTTTTTCATGATTATTCTCAGCTGAAAACCTTCCACCATTCCTCGCAGAATCAGATTCCAATATCATAGATACTGCCCCTTGTGATTCTGCCACCTCCTGGGTTTGCATTTCAGCCTCAGTTTTTCTTCTTGCAGCTAAAAGCCGTTTCCTTTCTTCTGCAAATGCAGCCCAGTCAGATGGTGGACCCTTTTTACCCTTCACCATCATTTGGTTCTCCATGTCTTTGGACAAGGAGTCAGTTTCTATTAAACTTCCTGTAGAGGAGGAACCTGGAGCAACCCTTTCAGTTTCCCTGATATCATTTGATCTTCCAGACGCAGCCCCAACTTCATTATTGCCAGTTGGCTCTTTTGAAGATAGCTCTTTTCCCCTAGCATCATTCAATTCTCTGCGGGCCCCATCTACACTAACACCTATTACATCCCAAGTAAATTAAATAAATGAGTTAACTGATAACAAAAACAATCAAAGATAATCTTCTTCCTTCTATTCCTGTAACTACAGTTTCTTCCCTACAACTTGCATACTTGTATGTTGTATCTATAACCAAAGAATTAAAGTACAATTACAGAAGCCAACCCTTGAGTTTTCACCACAGAAGCCAGAAGGCCAATAGATTTTCCAATAAAATAATGGAACCCTGAAAGTGGAATGTTCTACTCCTACAGTTTCAGCAAACCAGTGAAGGGTTAGATTCTAGTGATCCATACAAGTCCTATGGAAATGGAAACTCGGATACGTGCAGAAATGCTATTCCTACTTCAAGGGCTGCAGTTAGCCAAGTCATTGGGCTACGAAGGACTGATTGTAGGAAATTCACAGGTCATTATCAAGTGGATAGCAGGCAATGATTTAGATCATTGGACACATCTAATATGATAAGAGAGGCAAGGTCTTGCATATTCAGTTCAAGTATTCCACTTGAATGGATCCCAAGATCTACAAATTCCATTGGAAGATTGATTGGCATTTGAAAAAGGAAGGAGCAAGTAGAGAAGATATGTACTGGGGAAATACCTGGAAAGCAGACAGTTGTGAATTGATTATATTCTGTATCATTGAGGGCCATGTGGTAAATTTACTGGTTGAGCTAGATATAATTATCTTTCTACAAGAAAACAATGTTTTATTGGGTATAGATACAAACAATTGTTTTAGAGGGAGAAATTGCAACTACAAGCAAAATTTAAGGAAAACAGTCTTTACTTCTAACCTTCTTTAGGGGTGATGCCACCAAGAGCATAATCAAGATGAACTTTCTTAGGCACCAAACCATTTCTGCATGTGCAAGATAAGTTGAAAAAAGTAATCAAGGATAGAGCCTGCATTGGATAAATGGTGATTTAAACAAGCTAGGGATAGCTAATTGGGGATATGACATACCTGAATGCCAGAAAAACAAGGCACTGAGCTCTGAGTTGTTTCAAATGTTGTTCCTTAAAGGGCATGGAAGAGCTAGCAGGAGATTCATGTACCAGAATTTTTCCCGTATTCCTAGGAGCTCCACTTCGAACTGAGATCATTTCCACATTACTGTTTGACTCGGCACCCTAATTTAAAAATTATTTATTTACAATGATCATCATAAGCTAGAAATAAGGGAAAAGTGCAGAACAAATACAGGAAAAAAAAATAACTTCAGAACAGAACAAGGTTATCATAGAAGCAAGTATATCAAGGCCAACCAAAATGACTGTAAATATCCATAGAAGTTCACATACAATATATCATTTTTTATAGGTAACAATCAAAAGGGTCTTACTAATTTACGTAAAAAAAATGGACTAGAAGAATACTGCCAAGCACCCCTTTGTGGGAAGAAGGCTACATACTCCTTATTTCTAAAACGGCACATACAAGGTGCATAGAAGGATTTTGGGAATGGTGCATTCCTGGTTGGCAAATCACCCATTGTTCAAAAACAGGCACTCATGTTCTTTTTCTGATCAAGATTTCCTCTTTGCGAGGAGCTTATAGTCTTTTCAGTTTGGGGCTGGTTGTATCAGGTATACTGGTTCTTTCCTCTTGTACAGATTCTCTTTGTACATGGATTTGCATAGTTGTATGGTTTTAAGATTATTAATGAGATTACCTTACAGTATCAAAAAAAAAGTTCAACTTCTTCCAACCAGACACTGGGGATGACCAAACCTCTAGAGGTTTTTGTTTCCTAGAGAAAGAGCCAGCAATTGCCCCCCAATTCCCAGAAAACAAAACAAAAGAAAAAACCCCTCTGCTTTAAAGTCTGAATAAAAAAGTTTCAGGGTTTTAACACAATGACCAATGTGCAATTTTAAGAATAATACATTCAATTACCTTCTCCGACCTCCTCTCCTCCTAAAAGATTATTGTATTTCTTTCTTCCCACACTGTCCAAATTACCACTGCCCTTGTACATCTACACAAAATCCTACCTCTTTTAATTTTGTGTTTCTCAAAACAGAAGGGCTGAACAGTCCATCCAAACAGGCAGGAGCCAGGAGGGTTCCACCTACAATCAAAAAGAGAAGAAAACCATTCCCAAATAAAGCAAACAAAAAAAAAAAAAAGAAAAGAAAAGTTGCCATTTGTAAGACTTGTGGATTGAGGGATTACCTTCTTTTGGAAGGTGATAGTTGTATTAAATTTCTTTTAAGTTTAACGAAAGTTACCATTTCCTATCAAAAAAATGGGGGTCTTTCCCTACCAGTATGCTTAACACTTCTGCTACAATGTCAAACAATAATGGAGATAGTAGATCTCCTTGTCTCAGCCCCATTGTAGCTAAAAAAAAAAAACTCTGTTGAAATACCATTAAACCAAATCGGAAAGGATGCTGTGGAAATGCAAGCAAACATACAACTCCTCCATCTCTCCCCAAAACCCATCATTTCCAGCACCTCCTCCAAGAGACCCCATTCCCCAAAACCCTTCTCCACTTCTAATTCTTGCATTTACAAACCCAATTGCTATTATCACCGCATCTAAGATTTGTGTCCCCTCAACAAAAGCCATTTGATAGGCCCCACTATGTCATGTAACAATGATCTTAATCTTCTTGAAAGGACTTCTGCAATTGTTCTATATAAGTTGGATATTAAGCTTCTTGGTCATAAATCTTGAACCTTACAAGCACCTTCCCACCAACTTTTCATTCCAAAATTCCTTAAACATCCCCAACGCATCACTTTTAACAATGCTCCAACCAGTGATTTAAAAGGCACGTATAGGCATACAGGCAAGGCGCATTTTGGGGTACGCGCCTCGCCTAGGTCCTAGGATCACGCCTAGACGTGCGCCTGATGCGCCTTGTGCCTCATCCCAGACGTGCGCCTTTTCAAAATTTTGCGCTTTTTGCCTTTTTTTGAATCTAACGGCCGGGCCGGGGGCTCCGCCCCCGGACCCCCAACCACACCCTCAAGGCAAGCCCAAACAAGTCTATTCATTCATTCATTCCAATAAAATATCTTCTTAAAAGACAATTAAAGTTATGAAATCATGATTTTTCATGTGAGAAATAAGAATTTCAAAGCCTAACATAGACTTGTATGGGTTTGCCTCGAGGGGCGTGCTACAAAGGCGACTCATAGAATCAAGAATGCAATATGTTTTACATCACATTAGCTACTTGAAGCAATGCAATTAAGGAAAAAATGAGATTGTGGGTTTTACATGCTTGAAAATGCTGTATATGTTTGCTTCTATTTTTAAATTTTCATTTGAAAACGCTTTACATGTTATTTTTATGTATTTTAATTTTAGATAATTGTTTTTTAAAACATTTATTTTAAAATTTATGTTTATATTTTTTATTAACATTATGTTTAATATTTTTTTGAATTTTCTGACTTCTTTTTTATTTTTAGCTTTTTTTGTAGTTTTGCGCCTTTCTTAAAAAGGCACATGCCCCGCCTTGCACCTCAAGCGCAAATTGTCCCTTGCACTCTTTTGCGCCTTGCACTTTTACAACACTAGCTCCAACACCTTCACTAGTTAGAAACATAGTTCCTCTCCCTCTCTAATCGTGAGCACCAACTGGTCATGCCCTGATGTTTCTTCTAAGATAAAGATTTAATTTCCAGTGGGAAATTTCTTCTCTATTTTGTTGCTAGAGAGAAAACTCCATATTTTCCATCCCAATGCTCTTCAATAAAGCTGCTGCCTAATCACTGAATTTCACAAAGTAACTTTTCAATCCACTAGTTGTTATCTATGCACCACCTAAAGGACATTATGCAAGCAATGCGAAAACAATTGATCACTAGCACAACATCTTAGATGACAGTGGACAACAAAGAACTCACCCTGCCTCAAAGGGCTTGGTTGGGTGTCTAAGGGCAGAGCCCCTAGCCCAGCCACTATGCTTGAAAGGCACACAATTGGGCTGAGGCACACACCTTTTCAAAGAAGTTGCACCTAGACCTAGGCAAGGCACATACCTTGAAATATGCCTTACCTTTGCATCTAGGTGCATCTAATTAAGCTATCTAAGATCTTGGGAGTGGTAGAATGAGCACAGCCTAACTCCTAACCTTTGCCATTTTTTTCACAAATAGTGGCCACCCTCAAACTCAAACCTATGTTCTCATACTTGCCTGCCCAAGATTTTACCATTACACCAAGTAATGGCCCCTATGAAAGAGAACAATCAAATGAGCAAAGAAATAAACAAAGCAGAAAATTGAGTGAACGGAAAGAGTTGTGCCGAATACTCCATAGAGCAATGCAACAGAAAATCCACCAATTGATCAATAACAAAGAGCAATAAGCATGAAAAAATAGGAGAAACCTCTAACAATACCTTGCACAAAGCAATAGCAAACTCCTTAGAAACTGAAGTATTTTATAAAATAGAGCATACAAAGATTTGAGATTATTATTAAATTTGCCTATTTTTTTCTGAACAATATTATCACCCACATACTGAAGTCTACTAATTTTGCACACATCACTATGGTGTCACATAGAGATTAAAAATAGATAACAATATTGCAAAAAAAAAAAAACAATACCTGAACCATCTTAGATATATTGGATGGTGTATGTGAAATGCCTCCATCCTGCTCTACAACCTTTCCAGCTGATAAAGATGTTGATGTTTCCTCCCCTCGAGTAGCTGAAAACAATTGTGCTTCCACACCTTTCTCAGAAGTGCTTGGCATTTCATCTTTCATAAACCCATGCTTTCTATGTTCAGAATCAACAAAATATTTAGAGGAGATATCCATTGCAGGACCTTTCATGGAAGTTTCAATAGACATTCTATCGTTGCTTCTTTGTGCCAACTGTGAAACGGATGCAGTATCTATGCTTCTTTCCTTGTGCAACTTTGAGGCCAAATCATGACCATCAAATGAGGAATTGTTGAATTGTATTGGAGGAGATAAACCCTGTTTTGCCATTGCATATGAACTAAAAGCACCAGGCATGCCTCCATGAACCTTGCCACAACCACCTGATATTGCAGTCGCACCCTGCAAGATACTACTATTTATTGGTCCTGGGGGTCTTCCAGGACCCCCATGTTCAGAAGACTGGGCAGAATAGTCAAAGGTCTGGTTTTCAGACAGCTTGGAGTCATAAATGTTATGCTTCTGCTCATTTCTACTATTAACAGCTTCTTTGCTTCCTGCAAGAGATGGAGTTGATAAGTGGGACATAGAAATTTCTCCTGTTGAACTTGGAACAACATTAGGAGAAATCCTAGAGCCATGAGAATTTTCAGATTGTAACCCCCCTTTACTCTGATTCCAGAGACCCCTAGAACTGAGAATATCATGTAAATTCTGATTTTCTTGCTTTGCTCTAAACACCGATCCCATGCCACCAGATAAAGGTGAGAGATGTTCCCCGTGACTACTGTTCTGGGAAGGATCTAAATCACCTTTGTTCATAGGCTTCCCCTTCCTTGGAGTGAATCCAGCACTGGAAGTATCTAGCTGCTGGGCGTAATCTGTATGTGCTTCAACAGATGATGTTGAATCTGCTCTCTTCCTCTTAGAACTGCCTTTTTTAGTATCTTTCTGAAGTCCTTGTTTATCAAGCATTGCCGTATCACGCCTTTCCTGTGAGTTTCCTGATCTAGTATCCATACTGGATGGACTTTCATGATCAAATAACTTGGCACTTCTCTGAGATAGAGACCCCTGATGAAGATCATGTCCAACATTTTCCATCCTGCTTGGACCAACAGGTGGCCTGTTTAGAATAGTTGCCTCATGCTTGGGAATCTCATTGTCAACTAAACTTGTTTTAGAGTCTTTTAAAGCCCCAACCCCCTGGCTAGATCCTCCATAAACAACTTCCTTGGTTTTACTACTTGATCCAGGATGCCATGCACTGGAAGTTCCACTTCTAAAAGATACATCACTGGCACCTATAGATGGTGTATTATCAGTTGTTTCCTTTTCCATCACCTTTGAATTTCCAGGGTCCCCTATTTGAGTTCCACCAGCCAAAGGAAGGCGTGATGATTTCAATGCCTCAATATCAATACCATGTTGATTGATAACAGTTTCCATGGCCCTGGCATCAAGAAAAATCAAAACATGATGACCAGAAGTAAGTAAAGGGTGCATAGAACTTCAAACTTATCATTAAGCAACTTAAGCTCATATTTTAATTGGTTATTCTAAATATAAAGATGGACCACAAGGAATATCATGGTAAAGGATCATATAATGCTCTCATAAACTGTGCTTAACCACCTAATGAGATAAAATCCACTGCAGGACCTTACCCTAATAAAATAGTCCTAACTTTCCAGTACACCATAAACAAAGCAACTGAACCTTTGCGACAATATTTGAGGAAGAAAGAAACCATGTAGTAGATTCTAATTGTATAATGGCTAGAGTGGTGCATTGAGTTTAAATCGATGAAGCTATCTCATTTTTTTCACCTGATGACTTGTAGAGAAAATGGGGATACATGGCCGCATCTTCAAAAAAAAAACCAAAAGTCCATAAACAATGGACATTATTGGAGGAGGGTTTCATTAAGCTAAACTTTGATGGAAGTAGTGTAGGAAATCCAGGTCCCTTGAGTGTAGGAGGTTTTTTTTTTTTGATAAATAACATCAATTCCATTAAAATAATGAATAGATACAAGAAGATCCCCTTAGAGGCGCGAGGAGCAGCCTCTCCAAACAGCAAATACACAAACTACAACAGAGAAAACATGAATGTTGAAATTAAAACAATAGTTACAATTGTGCCCA